GTCTGCAGGTGCGGGCCCGGCCCTGGGGGCTGCGCGCCGTGTCCGCAGGGGGTGCGACGTGTGCGAGGGGGGTGGGGGGGGCTGTTTATATCCTGCTAAAATGTTTAAATCCCTTTTAAAACTTCCCTCGAGCAAAAGTGCCCCTGTGGTGAGCGGAGCGGCTCCCCCGCCCCCCGCGGGGGGGGTTTGTTGACAACCTGTAGAAATCCCTTTAAAAAAAAACCCCCAAACCCACCTTTTTGGGGGGACGCGCTCCCTCCGGGAGTCGAATCGGGTCGCTGCACGTAGAAATCGCTTTTTAAACTTGCCTGAAGTTTCTCCTGCGACAAAAGCTGCCGCCGGGACCCGAGCCGCATCAGGAGCCGGCCTCCGTCTGGTCCGGCCGGACACGGCGGCGTTGCCTGTGGAAATCCTCTTCGCAGCTTCCCCACGTCAAGGAGACGAAACACCCGCTCGCCCCGCGAGGAAGGGCAGCCTGCGGGAATCGAACCGGCCGCGGTCCGTTCGCGCCCGTCGCAAAAGCAATCCCGGCGCGTGAAACGAATCGGAAACGTCTCGCGCGATGAAAGCCGGTTCGAGATCCGGCGTCGGGACGTTCCTGCTGCAGCGCTGCCGACACAAATCCCTTTTCAGGCTCGCGCCTGGTTTGTAAGACGGGACGGACGTTTCTCCTGTGGCGAAAGTCGCGTCTGGGGATCGACCTGGTTCACGATCCAGCCGCGGTTATTTCTGCCGGGGGGATGGGGGTGTTGTCTGCAGAAACCCCTCTAAAAACATACCGCGTTTGTGGAAAGTGTGCCTCTGGGGATCGAGCCTCCGTCTGTTTCGCTGTAGAAATCCCTGAAACACTTGCGTGGTTTGTAAAACAAAATGAAACTTTCCCTTGTGACGAAAGGCTGCCTCTGGGGATCGAACCGGTTCGCGATCCAGCTGCAATATGTTTCTGCCCGTCGCGCGGGCGGATGCTGTCTGTAGAAATCCTCTTTAAAACTCGTAATGTTTATAAGACGGAACAAAAGTTTCTCCTGCGATGAAAATTGCCCCTGGGAATGGAACCGGTTCAGGATCCAGCCTCCGTCTGTTTCTGCCAGACCTGCAAGGGACATTTGCTGTAAAAATCCCTTTAAAAAACTGACGTGGTTTGTAAAACAAAATGAAAATTTCCCTTGGGATTAAAGCTGCCTCTGGGAATTGAACCGGTTCAAGATCCGGTGTCAGTACCCCTATAAGGGGTGCTATTGATAGAAATCCCCTTAGGTTTATAAACCGAACGAACGTTTTTCATGTAATGAAAGCTGCCTTTGGGGCTCAAACCGGTTCAGGATCCAGCCTCGGTGTCTTTGTGCCGGTCACATGAGGGGCGTTAGCTGGAGAAATCCGTTTGAGAACGTACATGGTTTGTAAAACAAAATGAAAGTTTCTCTTGTAATGAAAGGCGGCTTCTGGGACTTATACTGAAGCCGGATCTTGAACCGGTCCATTTCTGCCAGATACGTAAGGGGCATTTGCGGTAGAAATCCCTTTAAAAACTTCTTACTTTGTAAAATAAAGCGACTGTTCCTGACGTGGTGAAAGTCTGCCTCTGGGAATTGATCCTGTTCAAGATCCAGCTTAACTTACTCCCGTGTCAGATGGGTAGGGGTGCTCTCTGTAGACATCCGTTTAAAAGCATAAGTTGTTTGTAAAACTAAATGAACCTTTCCCTTGTGATGAAAGCCTGCCTCTGGGAATCGAACCGGTTCAAGATCCAGCCTCAGTATATTTCTGTCAGACATGCAGGGGGCTTATGCTGTAGAAATCCCTTTAAAAAACATAAGGTCATTTGTTAAAATGAACATTTTTAATTTTTTTTTTAGTGATGAAAGCAGGGTTTCTACTCCTCTCTAGTGACATACGTGTGGTTGATGAAGTGTGCAGAGGTAAACAGCTCTAAATGCTGCCTCCAGCCTACTCAACAGTAGACCAAACCTATGGGCTAGAGGGTAAAAAGTGTTTGCTCCCAACAAAAAGACTCTCAAGTTACGCCTGCGTGTTTTTAGTCCCGTGTTCTGTTTTCTTGTGTTTTGCTAATGAAAATAATACAGTTTGCTGTTGCTTCCTGGTTTGGGGGGTTTGTTTTTGTTTTTGCATGATCTGAAACAGCGGTGTTTGTTTTCATGAGTGTGTTTGGTTTTTTGTAGAAGAAACTGCAGAGGAAACCCAAACTGTTTGGTTGGGATTGGCGAACACGTTTGGCTGGGAGAAATTGATGAGAATAGCTTTCACAATATCGACGACCCAAATTCCGAACGCAGGAAAAAGGTAAAAGAGATTCTTTGTTTCCTGTACAAGCTATAACCCCCAATCCAGCAAATAATCTGCACGCACAGGATCTGAAGTGTTCGCACCACGAGGGCTGATGAGCGAGTACGTCTTCTGTCTGGGGATAGATACCGTGTTGTATGATTCCCTGCTATGGAGCGTCAGCTCTCCACCACAAACAAGACCTGAAACTCTTCCTTCTCAAAGATTTGAGTTGCGCTTTTCTCATTTCTCATCTGAGACCGACTGTCACTGGCTCAGCATATACTCTACAACACTCCTTTTATTTTCCTTGACATTGACAGGTTGTCTGCGCACCACTGGTGGTATGCGTACCACAGATTGGGAACCTCTGAGTTAAAGTATTACTTGCCCAGTCTTGCTTGTCAGGTCTGAAAGGAGGCAGGTGGGTTAGAAATCCATTCAGATAATGCCCAGAGAAGCAGCATAACAGACGCATGCTATGCTGTGTTTATCGTAGTCATGCAGTTGGGGAGTAGAAAGTTTGAGAAGATCCTCTATAAAGCCACAGGTGCTCAGTACTACTAACAAAGTACAAGCATGTGACAGCTGGATTTTTTTCTCCCAGTGTGTTCCTTTTGGGGTTTTGGGACAATGTGCCTTGTAGTTTTGTGTGACAGGGTTAATCTGTGTAGTTTTGGGAATAGGTTAGTAGACCTGCAGTTGTATGGGATGGTTTGGATGGGGATGATCCTGTGTTGAGCACGAGGCTGGACTAGATGACCTCTTGATATCCCTTCCAGCCCTACTTTCTATGATTCTTTGTAGGAATAATTATAACCGGTGCTTTCTTCTTTATACTAGAATGCATTCGTAGGCTTAACAAACCTTGGAGCCACATGCTACGTGAACACTTTCTTGCAAATGTGGTTTCTTAACTTGGAGCTTCGGCAGGCACTTTACTTGTGCCCCAGCACCTGCAGCGAATATTTGACCGGTGAGGGCATCCCAGAAGACAAAGGTCAGTGGAAGGTCGCAACATTCTCTGAACCCTTTTTTGTTGTTGCAAGAGAACATTGTTAACCTCTCCCTGTTCACATAACAGATACAATTGCTTTACTTGCTCAACTGATTAACCATTTAGAATATCCTTCTTGTGTGGGTAAAGGAATTATCTTAGCACTAAGTGGCTGGAGTTTGGCAGATGCTACCTCATATAAATATATCTTCATGAGAAAGCATTGGTTGCACATAAGGGCTACAGTTAGCTACAATTGGAACAACACAAAAAATGGCCAAGTATTTGCATGTGGAAAAGACACCTGGCAATGGCCATTGTCAGTGCCAGAATAATAGACTAGAAAAGCCATTAGTCTCATCTCATGAGTATGATCTATGAGTCTATATTGTATAGATTGCTGTATACATACAGTGTTAATATACCTTGATAGCATAAAGCCTTTTGTTTTGCACGTTATGGATTAAAGTATGGTAATGCTTATTGTAAACTAGCCTTTTTTTTTTTTTTTTAACTGGCAACTGATATTTCTCGCACAAAGTGAATTCTTGGCCATTTCTTGTGTTGTCAGTTGTAGCAAGCAACAAAATAGTATGTAAAACACCAGTAGTAATTTTTGCTGGATGTACAGTAAGCTCCTAGCTTTATTCTGCTTCCATTACTGAGTGCTGGCTTTTGGGGATATGACAGTGTATGAAAATGTTTCCCTTAAGTAAGATACTTAGCTTGAATTAATTACTTTGGTATGGCAGTTTATAATAGAAGCTGTAAACAGGGACTTTGTTTCTGATCATATAAATTTATATTAAAGTTTCATTTACTGATAAGCAAGTCTCAATCCTCTGGATCGTGGTGTATGTGCAAGAGATCTAATCAGAGGCCTGATGAATCCACTTGCGGCTGACAGGCCCAATTTGAGAGTGACACGGATTGTTACTAGTCTCACGGGTCCATGTGTTGTCTGAGTTGGAGTTAATTTATAGCACACTGCTCCCTTCTTTCTCGCTTTGCTTCCATCCTCTGGATCAAAGCCACTTCATGTTGAGCTGCACCCAGTGCCTGATGTTTTCCCCAGATTAGACAGGATTCTATGCACTCCTCCCAGCTTTCTACCTTGATGTTGAACAACTTCATATAATTTATGCTCATGTCTTGGCACCACCATAAAGGGTAACCTTGCTTTCTAGAGCCATCTCAACTCTCACTGTACAAAATATTTTTGGGACTACAGTCTCCTCCCATTCTTCTGACATGGCTAAGCCATCCTGACCTCCTCTTCTTGATAGTGGCTTCTAACAGTGTCAGTGCTGCATGCTCTAGCATCTCTGTGTGTGGCATTTTGTCTTCCCACTTTATTTTCAGGGTCTTAAAGTTCCATTAAAGTTTCATTCACTGACAGCCAAATAAAATTAAATGTCTCTGGCTTGGTGCTCATTTGTCTTTTGGTGCAAACCAGGTCAGTCACTTCCTATTAATTTGAACTTTTCTCTCCCAATAGATTATGAACCTCAGACAATTTGTGAGCATCTCCAGTACCTGTTTGCATTGTTACAGAACAGCAAAAGGCGATACATTGATCCCTCTGGGTTTGTTAAAGCACTAGGCTTGGATACAGGACAACAACAGGTAGGGTTGAGTTTGATGTTTGACAAGTTCTCTTTTCTAACAACTTTTTAAGTAAGCTGGAATAATATCCCATAAGGTCCATAAAACTTATTTAATCATATCCTCCTAATACCCAAGAGCCCTGCTCCTGAGCTTAGGACCCCACTCGCAGCTGCAGGAGGTTAAAAAGTTGCAACTGAGGTCAGAATATAATGGTTGCTGCAGCACATGCTCAGTATTGTTTTTCCAAGGGTAAGAGAAGGTGGGGCACCACTGCACCAAAAACTTGGGAGCAGAGAGCAAGAGCAAGTTGCCAATGCTGAATTGGAGAAGCTGTAGGACAGAACTGGAAAAAACTCCAGACAGCAGTTGTAAACAGCATGTTCATTGAGTTTAAGAAGCGGCAGTGAGCAGGGAGGCAGGTGAGGTCATGGGTTGGAGAGACTGAAGCTTGTGTGCATGGTGAGGGAAGAGTTAGGAGAATGAGGCTAATGGGAAGAATAAAGAAGGGTATAAAAGGGATTCAGTGGACACCAGGAGATGGGATGGGGTCACTTGGGAGATCAGATGAGAATCTGTATGAGTGACAGGAGGCAAGAGGAATAAGGAAAGCTTAAGGTTTCAGTGAAAGTTGGCAAACAGGTAGCTGCTGTTGCAGGACTCACTTAAGTTGGAGGAGGAGAGTTGTTTAGCCAGGAAGAAGGCAAAACAGAAGGGGGCAATGAATAAAAGCCTGTTGAGTATTCAACAAGCGTAAATCAGTGTTGCTCAGTAGCATCTGCGGAGCTATACTGTTTTACACCATCTGAAGGTCTGTGTCTACAGAAAATGAAACAACTGATGGCAATCGTATCATTTTTGTCTTGTTTGCTGCTCTCTTTCTCTGTCGCTTGGCTAGATCTATCATGTAAGCACAAATAATGTTATTTTCTGAGACACTGGAACACAGTGTCGGAATGGGTCTCAGAAGAAGGGACGGTATGAAACGTGAGTGATTATTATGACAAACCGTTCCCTAGCAAAGGATGATTAATCCTCTCTAAACTAATGTGTGCTGTTTATACAAGATAAGTAACACTCTTTAAAAGTCTGTCAGTCACAATGCTATAATCATATTGGGTATAGAAATGTTTGTTTCAGTATTCTTGGTGGGGAGGAGGAGGGAGGTGGGCCTGATTCACAATGTGGAGTTAAGAAGTGAAAATAATCAGTGATTATGTGGATTTATGTGGTTATGTGGATTATGTGGTTAATGAGCTACCACCCTTTTAACGAAATCCTGCATATTGCAGTGCAGCTACCGCTACTATACTCGTCGAATTCATGCTGCTGTTCTCATGCTGTGTTTTGCACTCCTTCAAGTCCAATTTATCTTTTCCTTTGTCTTGCTACCTTGCATTTTTCTATTCCATGTGCACTTTAGCTTCTGTATAATTCTGTATGTGGGTTTTGGTTATCAACATAACATTTCAAGTAAATTGGAGAACTAGGCTGTGATTGTAACTCAGAAGTGATTCCATTCTTACCAAATGCTGGTGTGTGTTCTAGGATGCCCAGGAGTTTTCCAAGCTCTTTATGTCACTGCTGGAAGATACTTTGTCTAAACAGAAAAATCCAGATGTTCGAAATATCGTCCAGAAGCAGTTTTGTGGAGAGTATGCATATGTCACCGTGTAAGTAATCTGTGCATTTCTCCAGCAGTGCTTTCTTGCTCAGCATGTTTTCCTGTTCCTCTGGCCACTTGGAAGAACCTTCCTACAAACATTAAATATTTTTGGAGAGGAGAGAGCGAGTGGGAAGGAACCTTTCTAAATCTATAACAGAAAGGCAAGTGCATTATTTGCCGAGTTCTTTAAGCAAGAGTTTTTCGTGGTTTTGAAGTCTTGAGTTTATGGAAAAATAGGACTCCATATGCACCTCCTATATAATTTATAGAATTTTGCAGCTTGTCTATTTCTTTCTTTAATTCCTCATGTTCAAAAGCCACAGCTGCCTGGCAAACCTATTTCCTCTCACACCATGGTGCTCTATGTTGGTTGCCTCCAAAATTGGAAGCAATGTGGCTGTGTCCTCTTGGGGCTTCAGGTAGACCCATCGGCTATAACTTAAATTCCAAAGTCCTGAAAATGATTTGTAGCTGCCTGGATGCCCACATTGATCCCCCGTGAGAATCGTTCATTTGTATTTGCAATGTAGCAGTGTAAACATGAGGTGCAAAAAGACGTTTTTGCACTTGCTCTGGAGACCGCTATGTTGCTGCATAGGTTCTTTTAGTCCACAGATCAAATCTTGACATGGCCAAGAGCAGCAGGACACAGAAATTTGGAGGTGCACACCTCAGAGTCAGTGATCTGTGCCCAGAACCTCAGCTCCAGTGATGACTTTAGAATTAATTGATTTTTTTTCTGTTTTAGCTGTAACCAGTGTGGCAGGGAGTCCAAACTTGTATCCAAGTTTTATGAACTGGAATTAAATATCCAAGGGCACAAGCAATTGACAGACTGTATCACAGAATTTCTTAAGGTAAAAAGTTATTCTTTTTGTTGATGCTATAAAACAAAGCACTAGTTTACTTGCCTGTCAAAGTGTTCTGAAATCAGGGAGAATTCCTAACGAAATCGGTGGGAAAAGGCTGTGGGAATGGGCACTAACTAACTGCAAAATATCAGTATTAAAAGAGATGCTTCTGTCAGGATATAATTATTCTTGAGAGTGGTATACCGAACATTAGGGGAATCCTTCTCAGCTTACTGTGTATCTGGTAAAGCTTTGTGTGAAGGTTTCCTTTGCTGTTCCCCTTGTTAGTGCACATCTTTCACATAGAAGCGGCAGGATATATATTTTTAACTATAGTATTGTTAGACACCCAGACATAGCTGCAGCAACACCTAAAAATATTTTAGATGCACTTTTATAAAGTGACTGGGTCTCAAGTTGTCGGTATTCAAGGTTCTAGCTGTGTTATTAAAATATTTTAGAGTAGAGTTACTAAGTAGTTCGGCTTGCTGCATGCAGTAAGTCACAGGTCGTGACCCGGAGTGACCTGCTCAGCAGACAAGTCAGTTGTGGAACAAGTTGCCATGAAAGGCAATTTCCAATTAAAAGAGAACACATTCCTGTATGTGTCTAATAGATGCACTGGGGTACACCCACACTGCAAGATTATAGTATCCACTTAGCAACAATAAATTTGGGGTTGATGGTTTGTTTGTCTCAAAAAATTAAAAGTCAGGGCTTCACGCTTAGCAGTTTACGGTTTATTCCCAACTCCACACATGGATGCCAATTCTTGTGAATCCCCACTGAAGCTAATTTGGTCTAGCATGAGGAAATTGCATTCATTCACGTGGGCACAGTTTCAGGTAAATAGAAACTATAGCCTTTCTGTTAACTAACTACATAACCTCATTAAAACAGAACTTTCTACAGCCTCCTTGATGCAGACTAAGTTATCCAGCTCAGTTCAGTAGAGGGAAACCCTGACCTTTGGATTATAAACTGCCCAATTATTGCAGCAAAGGCTTACCGTAGTTTGACAGACTTGTGATTTCTTAAACTGTCACTAGTCTCTTAACAGCTCTGAAATTTTAAAGTGTGGTTAGCCCAGTGTTTTCTGTATTTTTTTGCATTGTCTTCTATTATCCTCCCCCCCCCCCCATTTTTTGGGGTTCTGTTTGTATATCTTGGGATACTGATTGTATGGATATAAAGAGAGCTGTCTTCTTTTGGTGTCTGTAAATGACTTTAAATTTCAGGCTCCAGAGTAGAGTGAAAGAATCAACCTTTTTCTTTTTTTGCCTCCTGGTCAGGAAGAAAAACTAGAAGGGGACAATCGCTATTTCTGTGAAACTTGTCAGAGTAAGCAAAATGCCACAAGGAAGATCAGGCTGCTTAGTCTTCCATGCACTCTCAACTTGCAGCTGATGCGTTTTGTGTTTGACAGGTAAATGACCTGGGTTGTAAAAGTTGGGGGGGGGAGGGG